AATACTGACTAGCTATAAATAAGACCAATGACAAGGGAAAGAAATGCAGAAACACAAGGCCAAAAACCTAAACCTAGACAACCACTAGTTCAAGGGTCTTGGCGCCAGGTCAAGGCTACTGAAGCAGGCTTTCTTTTTCGTATTTGGGTCATTTATATTAGTGTTTCTCAAGAAGTTCAAGTGTGGTCGACTAAGCAGGCTGCTGATCCAGCATAAGAGGATGTGGCTTTTAGCAAAAGCACTGTTTTTCACAATCGCTTATAAAGATGGGTCTGACTCTAAGGGTTACATCGCCTGGTTGTTGGGCAGAGAGATTGTGTTAACAAGAGACCCACAGAAAGCAGTGGTCTGACTTGTTTCTATCAGAAGCGAATGCAGAAATCTCCTCTCAAACCATTTGTCTCAGCAGAATGGAGATACTCACAGGGAACTGCAGGAACTGTCTGACCACTGACTGATCCAGAAGCCTTCTCTGCCCTTGCCCCTTCTCCCCTGTATACATCGAATTTCATCAACAAACGAGACTTCTCACATTCAAGTTTTGACCCTTTCAGGAGCAAAGGAAACATTGCTGTCAGTAAGAATAAGGAACTCGCTTGCCTATGGATCATGCAAGAGAGCTGCAGCTGCACAGGCTGCAGTGAACTGACAGAGGGGAGCTCTGTTGAGGAAGGAAAAGGGAAAAAAGGCCTCTGTCTCAGGAACAGGCTCTCATCTGTGTGATTTTACCCTTGCTGAGTTCTTTTGGAAACAGGGATCACAGATCACAAATGCATAAATTCTGTTAAAGGACAGATTCTAAAAAGCAGTATGACTGTTGAGCTATAATTGTAAATATAGTAGATCTGATCTGGAACATTGAACAAGTTAAACACACAACTATTTATGATGCCATTAGAAGAAAGAGAGAGATAGACATTACCTTAGTCTCTGATATCTGACGTGCTGTCCTTGACCCACTACAAAGTTGGAAATGGGCAAATGAATCCATTATGCAGCTGGTAAAAAAACCCCAAACTCTTTAAAACAAAAGCAGTAGAGAATTTTCTCTGTTGCCTCTTGGCAATTCTGCCAAACTATTCCTGAAGACAGAATCATAGGTTTAAGTTAGACAGTATCTTCTCTTCAAGACTTACTAAGACAAAATTACACTTGCCTTTTTGTCAATCTGTTTCTCAATGCACTTCACATAGGTGCTTCATATTTCCTTGTAGAAGAGGAAAGCAGACACCAAGAGGCTGAGTCCAGTTGCCATGGGAATTTAAACAGTTAAAAGGGATTTGCATTCAATTCAATAGTCACCTCATTTCTATGTGAATGAAGACTATCCTTTGACAAAGTGGTATTTGATATTTTCAGGATCATTTTCCAGTTTCTTGGGTTTCATCAACCTCATGTTTGCTTTAGAACTCCAGATGGTTCCAGGACAGGGAGATGGGTAAAAGTGATAAAGCAGTGCTGGTTGGGCTCAACCTCTGTATTTGTTTCTGCAAACTTGGACACAACAGAAGTTGTTCAAATTGCACAGGGGAGGCTCTTCCAGTTCTTTGGATCCTCACATCAGGCTTAGGAAGGCTCAAGCTTGATCCACCAATGCACTGGGCTGACAGTGGTTGGAGCCATGTCAGCGGAACAGCACAGAATTTCATGTCGCTCAAGGGAGATTTTGGAGGGGGTATTAGGGGTTGTCCTGGGTTAAGAGACACAGGACTAACTTTTCTTCTAATGCTGGGGAAAACTGCACTTTTAGAAGGCCCTAGTGTCTGAATTCATGAAAATATTTACTTTATAGCCAGCCAGGCTCTGTGGGATTCAAGGTCTCAGTGTTTTTGAGCCTTGCCAGGTGCAGGGAAGAGGAGGAGTGAGACCTGGGCATTTGACCCAGGCTGGCCAACAGGATTATTTCATACTGTGAACGTCACATTCAATATAAATTGAAAAGTTTTCTGCGTAGTTTTCTCTCCCTTGATGGTGGTGGGTCCAGACAACTCCTTGCCCTGGTGCCAGACCAGAGCCCTTCCTTTCCTCCCGAAGCTGTTGTGTTCACAGTGTCCACGTTTGTTGTCCTCTGCTGGGAGTGCACAGCTTCCTGCTGATATAATCGGCTGAGTATAATTCTTGTATATCTTATATTAGTATCAGGATTAATACTGGCTCTTTGGTACCATTGTTAATTATTTAGTCTTATCCTATTAAATCTATTTATATTTCAATTCTCATGTTTCCTTGCTTTCCCTGATTCCACTTTCTGGGGAAGGGGAGGTGTCATTGGGTGATAGAATAATTGTCTAAACGACAATAAATTGTTATGGGTTTTCTCAAACCATAACAGGGGTTTATACTAGGAGCATGGTACAGAAGAAGCCGCTGATGGTTTTCATCAGCCAGCCAGAAGCAGCCTGGTACCCTTTAGCTACTGGGAAGACAGATTCCATCTTCTTCCAGAAAGACGGAGTGGCCTGAGGAAGACTTCCACTGCTGGACAAAGACCTCCCTGGTTACCTCAGGCACACCTGGAGGTAGGGCACAGCTCTGGACTTCCATGCTGGCTGCCACAGCACACAAGAACAAGGTGATATAAGGCACCAAAATTAAAACAATGCATAAAGCTGATGCTTCTCTAGGTCATACACCTGGAACGTCAACTAGTTATTATTACAACTTAATCCCCGTGACACTTTCCACCAAATCATGGGAGACTTGAAGAATATCCCACCTCCCACCCTTTCCTGTCACCTGCCACTCTGCCTTAAGACCCTGCGTTGCAGAAAATACGCTTTTTACAAAAGGGTCCAATGCTCTGCAAAACCATGTCTTGTATTTCAGAGGCAGACGTCACTAGTATATTGGAATAGCTTCCTTCTGGAGGACAGAGCATGCTGTATGCAACATAATCCTAATTCTTTTAAGAAGAAATCAAAGGTACAAGGGTATAAAACTTGAGTTTTCCAGTGCAGAAGGTGCATGCAGGTAAAGGAGGAGTGAAGGGGAAGGGTTCACACAGGCTCAACCATTTAATGCAACCAGCCAGTCTCCCTCTGTGTAGAGTGAAAAGTCACCTCCAGAGCATGGAACAGATTTTCTCTACACTTCTTTATCGATAAAAGAAAAGGTTGCCATGTCCATGTAAGACAAGCTCTAACTGGTGCCCAAATTACTACTGTAATTAATCAAAAACCAGGATAAATGCACAATAAAAAAAAACTTTTTAAGTTGGTGTGGAATACATAGCAGCATTTGTTTTGAGAAACGGTGTGCAATTTCCACTTTAAAAGGATGTTGAAACATCATGCTCCACCCCAGAGCTAAAGAAACACATGAAGTGTGGAAGACATATCTTGCAGCAAGAGACCAAACAAGTCCATCTGTTTTCTTTAAGAATTAAGAGGTACTTACATGGGAAAGAGGTTAGTAACAGTAAGCAGTTCATGTTTTGCAAACAAAGCAGTAGCTCCCAGAGCTGGAAGCTGAAACTACACAAATCCAAACTAGATATTAGGTATGCAGTTCTAGGAACGCATGTAATCAAAAGCTAAAACAACTTACCTGGGGCTTCAACAAATTCAGTCATTTAAATTGGGTCCTCCCAACAGAAAAACAATTCTGTGTCTCAGAGGATAGTGGCTTGCTACATCTCACACTGATTTCTACTGCAGTTTCTTTTATATGCAAAGTCTGATATTGTCTGATATTGTGGGTCATAATGACTTTAAGCGTTTATCAATCTATAGTAAAAAGTGTGAATACAAGTATCATGGGATTTATAAGTGCTGGCTGTATTGTGTTGTTTTATCTTTGGACAAACACAAACAGGGAATAGAGACTGAAGAAGTGTACTCGACCCAAGGGAATTGTGAGTACATGTGCTTAGTATAGATGTACCTAAGTCCTGTGTTATCCAAAAAAGGCAATGGCCAAGGTCACTGCAGTGCAGGAACACGAGAAAATCTTGGTTAAATCAAAACGTTTGGGATGCTTGGTAGAATAGTTCTTGGTTAATGGAGTGCGTGGTTAGGATATTGAAATGTATGATGACAGCAAAACTACTAGTACAAGCTTAACAGAGTGACACATACAGGCACATACGTAACAAGAATTATACTTAATGTATTAACCAATTTGTCTATGACATGCTAAAAAATTAAGTTAGTAATATTCCATTTTATTAAAAGGTTTTGCTCTTCAGAGCTTTCCACAAGTGCTATTTCTAGATCCCAAGTTGCCCTGCTCAGGGCTGCAATGAAATAAAATAGTAACTTTCATTTTCAAAATAAAGAAGATAACCTTATCTCTTGGCACCTGCTTAAATAAAACTGTTTTGCTGTACTAAACTTACTTTAACAGATCAGAAATGAGCATACCAAAGATAAGGCAAATAAATAGTTTCTATTTAAACTCAGTCTAATTTGCCTGTCAATGTGAAGCCTACTACAAATCAAGACACAAAGTAGCTTGAAGCATTAGTTTCTTTTGTATCAACAAAAGGAAGGCTTATCTCCACCAACTCGCTGCCAATTTTTTGTCTATTCAAAATAAAAATGAACTCTCACAGGTGGAGAAAAAGTACCTGAAGGAGGATGCATGGAACACTTCCAACAAATCTCCTCTCCTCCTGTGTTTCAGAGAACAAGTCTTAACGAAAATAGCCATCTAATGGGATCTCACAGAGGTAAGAGCAGGAACACTAACTTAGCTCTCATAGTCTTTAATCAGCAAACAGTCTGTTAGGTTCAGCCAGAATTTCCCTGCCCTGATGTACCTATACACAAACACACAGCTGATCTATGTCAGTCAGTTGCAGTAATAATAGATAATATTTACTTTTTATTATTTGCTTTTGTCACCTCTCCAACTTCTTGCTCTGCAGCTTTAAAATAGCTTCCAAACTGCCTCTATTGCTACACTCCAGGAAAAGACAAAACAAAGACAGTGTACCAAGTTAGCTCTTCCACACATCTAACACATCTATAGCACGGACGCCAAAAAACTGGCCAAAAGGCTAAACTTGTCACAAAGCTTAGTTTAATTTGACAATCATCATAAGGCATCCATGTAAATTAAAAATCCCACCAGGGTCACATACATTCTCCCACAAAATAAAACTTGTTAAAACAGAGGCCTGGGATTCCAAAAGATGCTCATGGTCACTGGTCTTGGCCAGGTTGCGCTGCCAGCAGTGAGGTCCAGGAGACGCAGCACTGACAGCTGCAACTCGGTGGGTGGAAAGTCAGCTTGCATAAATCTCTTTCAGTAGAACAAGTGAAAAGGAAAGAGATCTGTACAGAAAACATCATTCTCCATCCTTTCTGGGAAAATGAAACAGAATGAAAAGATAATCCCGTTCAAGGAGCAAAGAGAAAAGCTTGGACTTCTGAAGCCCAGCAATGCTGATGGCCCATTTTGAAAACTAATGAAGCACTACAGAGGCCTGAGTTCATTATTGCTTTATCCCAGTTCAGCCCAGGCTAAGGCTATGGTGAAGTCTGAATTAATTTAAAGCCTGAAAACGCAGATCCAGTAACAGCACCTAAGTCCCCAACCACACTTGGGTGTAAACAGATACTTTTGGTGAAAGGAAAAAAAAATCTTCAAAATTTCCCCTCTTCCTGTGCCATGTAGATCTCCACAGCAGGGCTAAAATTTGCCCCAAAGTATGTAACAGTTTCTCTTCCACATCTCCTTTAGCTAAGCCTCTTCCAAGTGTTTCACCTTTTATTCAAAGTAGTCCTCTATCCTGGTGATAAATCAGAGAAGCTTGGTGGGAGCTCACCGACAGGCACGCAGGTGCCCACACGTAAAACAGAATGCAGCACAGAGTCCAAGACCATCACTGTACTCTGGAATACCAAATAATGCTTTGCCCTCGGCTTCCTGAGACCAAATGGCACAAATGGAAGAGAACGTCTCCCCATCTTGCACGCCTGGCCAGTGATCAAGAGAAACAGTGTGCTGTGTAAATGAAATGGCATCTTACCACCAGAGTAAGTCAGAAAACAGACTCAGGTAAAGTGGGGCTTAAAAGTTTCATGTCAAGAGGGTGCTTCCCTCAGACTATCATATGACATGGCAACTGTTATTCAAGCAAAAGTTATTCAAGGCAGTAAAATTTTAGCATGGATATCTCCACGGCTGACTTACAGGCCCAACATATGCTAGGGGTGTTTAAAAAAATTAAATTAAAGGTCCTGTTAATTCTTCCAAAAGGACAGACTAGAAGACACACAGTGCATCTAACAAACACACATGCTACGCATCCTAACACACTAACAAAGGTTGCAGCTAGACTTGTCAAAACAGTTAAGAAGATTTAGGTGACCAGCTAGTGCCAGAATTGATGGCATTTGGGCACCTAAATTTAACTTTTTTGAAAATTCGAGCCTACACATTTCTTTATTGCTTGTCCCATTGAGTGCAAAGGGAAAACTGAGGGTAGGGTTAACTACAGAAGGATTTAAAATCCATCATAAGGTTTCCCTGTTCTTTTTTATATATATATTTATATATATAAAAAGCATTATTATTATTTAGCTACCTGGGAGTAAGGGGGAACAGGAGCTATTTAAAATTAGTTTCTTAATTATTTAAGCATTAGTCCCCTACCTCCCAAATCACAATACCTCTGTCACAGTAAGGAGCATTAACATGAAAATGTGTTTGCTGCCACTGACAATTCCTGAGTCTCTCTTTTGCAGAACTTCAGCCCAAATACCAGGATAATGGCAGCTTGACACATATACACTCCTCAGCAACATACATGCAGCAAGTAAGACATGCCTCAGACCAAAAAAAAGAAAAAAAATTAAAACCAAACAAACCACCAACCAAACAACTTGGAGAAACCATCCAGAAGAGCCTCAGGAAAGGGAACTACCCACTTTCCATGGAGAAGCAACCGCCCTGGAGTCCCTGCCCAGTATAAAATGAATCAAAATATCCATCCCACAGATGGAGATCTCTAAAACCTGGCAGTGTCACAAGCTGGATACTTGAAGGCACATTTGCTTTGTGTTTTGGGACAGAAATCCAGTTACAACACACTGCAGTTACAGGGCTGAGGGAAAGGAGACGACACTTGGTATCTTTCCTCTCTTCCTGTCCCTATTTTCAAGCTTCATGGTTGGCATAAGCTGGTGATCTAAGCAGACACATTAACATCCCTGAGTGAAATGGCACCGTTTGTGGCCTCTGAGACTTTGTCCTCAAGCACCATTGCTGGTGTGTCCGCAGTGACTGCTGTAGTGTCTATGGCGGGAAGTGGATTCAAGCCTTGTGATAAGATCTGCTGGATGGTTTTCCGTAAATTGGGGTGCAGCTGTTTTTGGGTCTGGTAAAAAATTTCTAAGGCAAAAGACTTGAGGGTGCCAGTGCAAAGGTCCTCATAAAGTGGAATTGTGTACATCCGAGACATCTGCAAAGAAAGGAAAATTGGATAGTATCATTTCAGTAAGTCAAGAGGTACAGCTCTTCTACAGCTACACTCCAACCGCTCTGAATGACTTCAAACTGGAGACAAGCAACATTTCTTTAACAGATAGCTGAGTATTATAAATAAGTTTAATGTAAAGATTTTTATAAATTATAATTTAAAAAAAATGCTAAGACTGATCTACTTCCACAAATAACAAAATTATTTTTAAAAGGCTAAGGAGAAGAGGCCACATTGAACACACGCATTAACCTTTTGCTCCTGCACACTAAAATCTACTAAAAGGAATTTGATGAGCCCTAGCTTTGCTTGAAGTGTAAATATTCAAACAATTCCATGATTTAGTAATGTGAAAACTTCTGGTCTGGAAAAGCCAGGGCTGCTACAAAACACCACAAAAAATGCACTGGACAGGGCTGGGACAAGGGTATTGAGTTAGGCTAGAAAAGCAGATATTATTTGTAGGCATTTCAAATTACACCTGCCCATTCCTCCCCACCCGCTAGCAGGTGAGCCATGCTCAGCCCCTTCGCAACACACCTGGTCTACACTTGGCCAGGAAGCAGAAGTTCCAAGGTCTTTCACGTCGCATGTCTCATGCACATGTCTCATGCACTGAGAGGTGCAGTGATTTTTAATCCAGCAGTTAGTACCTGGTTTTCCAAGAAGCGACGAACTTTGTAAAGGTCTGGATAATAGTCATTTCGGACTACAATCTGCAACCAGCGGATACGGATTTCTGCATTCATGGAGTCCAGCTGAGAGGAGTAACATTCTGAAAGCTTTTTTATCACCTCTGAAGAGAGCACATACACAGAGAAAGAACTATGACCTATTTTGTCAAGTTTGAGGATCTTAAGAAATCATAAATGAGATTAACAAATCATAAAATCACAGAATCATAGAATGGTCTGGCTTGGAAAGAACTTTTGAAGATCATCTAGTTCAACACTCCTGCCACGGGGGCAGGGACATCTTTCACTAGATCAGGTTGCTCCAAGACACATCCAACCTGGGGTAGTGCTCTGTAGAATTCAACTAATTATTCCAGGAATACTTTTCTATTATCCTGATAGAGTACTCACCATGTGGCAGTGGTGACCCATCTAGCAATCTGTCCAAGAAAAGCACGGTTTGGAACGTTTTCCATTTAGTGAGGTCAACACTGCTGGCAGCAGCAGCAGAGTCCAGAGGCTCTGTGGTCCAGAGTTTGAAGAGAGTCTCCACTGGTCTGGTCAGACTGGATCCCTGAGATAAGTCTGGCTCAGCTAATGGAGGTCCTGTAGCATTAAGCCAACGTTCAAACTCCAGTCCTGGAATGAGGAGCACCAAAATGTCAAGCAGGAGTCTCTGCAGGTGGCTTGGCTTGCCACAAGGCTCAGGACTGCTAGCTCAGTTAAGAGAGGTTCTAACAATAGCAAATCAGACCAACCTGCAGTTACAGTGACATAACAGTCTTAGCAGCCTCATTGGGCCTATCTACGCTACACCTGGAAGAGCGCCAGCAATACCTCTCCAAACTTAACCATGAGTTGTCTAGAGCTCAACATTACGGCATGTAAGTACAAGAAACACACATGCTCTTAAAAGAGCTAGGCTAACAAGTATCTATGATCAAACTATGTTCCAATATAAGATTTTTCTGTCCATGCATTTCTCTTTCTCAGAATTCTGAGGAAGACTGAAGAATAAGAAGAAAACCTGCTTCATCAAAACGAAAAAAAAAAAAAAAAAGAAAAAGAGGTAAAAAGGCTGATTAAACTCCTCCTACACACCAGCAAAACTAAGCAATTTTAAGTTTATTTATACAGGCAATAACTAAAACTAAAAATCAGTTTCTTCACAGCAGCAGAGGTAGCAGCCTGGCTTCCAGCACAGCTCTTCCCCTTTACCTTTTACCATCTCAGCACTTTCCTAACCTTTTGCAATACTTCCCGTTCCACACCATCTACCCTAAAACTCCTCTCTCCTGCATCCCCTCAACTTTATTAGCCAGGCAAAAGTTAGCACACACTGTGGTTAACTCATCAGCCAACCAGTGGGACAAATAAAATGTATAACTGCTGAGCTCATGCTGCAGCTTTTCTTGCATCTCTCCGCAGGCAGTCTCCACAAAGCCCACAGGAACCTGGCTAGTATTGCTAAGAGCTGTACTCCACTGCCGGTCCTGTTTAAACTGACCCATGGGTTCAATAATTACTGGACACATGGCAGAGTAACATTAGTTTCATTTAAGCAAGAGGGCTAGTAAGCACCTAGTGGACTACAGACCTTTCAAAAATCCACCAACACCTAAATAGGGGATATAAAGGAGAGTGAAACATTATGGAATCCTGTCCTTGTCAGGAAACTTGGGAAAAGTTACAGCTGTCAAAGCACGTTTCTGTAATTAAAATAGATGAAGTTTCAAAGCGTGTTCACCTTTTCTTTGCATGTGAGCACGTGTAAATCTCAGATGCACCAATCATTCTGTCTGCAGTGTGAAAGATAAATTAATGAGAAAGTTAACTGAAGGCCACTCAGCTGATCAACGCCAAAACCGTCAGCAATATAAGATGTTCTCATTCCCCAACATGGAGGCAGTAACAATAAATCACCACAATCATTTCTGTCACTAACATCTGGCTGTTGCCAAATGGTTTTCACAGAATCACATGGGATTGGAAGGGATCTCTGGAGATCATCTAGTCCAACCCCCCTGCCAAAGCAGGTCCACCTAGAGCAAGTTGCACAGGAACTTGTAGAGGAGGGTTTTGAATGTCTCCAGAGAAGGAGACTCCACCACCTCTCCGGGCAGCCTGTTCCAGTGCTCTGCCACCCTCAAAGTAAAGAAGTTCCTCCTCATGTGTAGGTGGAACTTCTTAAATTCAAGCTTGTGCCCATTCCCTCTTGTCCTATCCCCGGGCACCACTGAAAAAAGACCAGCCCCGTCCTCTTGACACCCTCCCTTTAAGTATTTATAAGCATTGATCCCCCCTCAGTCTTCTCTTCTCCAGACTAAAAAGACCCAAGTCCCTCAGCCTCTCCTCACAGGAGAGATGCTCCAGGACCCTAATCATCTTTGTAGCCCTCTGCTGTTCCCTCCCCAGCAGTTGCCTGTCCTTGAACTGGGGAGCTTGGAACTGGACACAGTATTCCAGATGGGGCCTCACCAGGGCAGAGTAGAGGGGCAGGATGACCTCCCTCCACCTGCTGGCCACGCTCTTCCTGATGCACCCCAAGATGCCATTGGCCTTCTTGGCCACAAGGGCGCATTGCTGCCTCATGGTCATCCTGTTGTCCACCAGGACTCCTAGGTCTTTCTCCTCAGAGGTGCTCTCCAACAAGTCAGCCCCCAACCTGCACTGGTGCTTGGGGTTATTGCTCCCCAGGTGCAGCACCCTACACTTTCCTTTATTGAAGTACATCAGGTTTCTCTCTGCCCAACCCTCCAGCCCATCCAGGTCTCGCTGTATGGCAGCACAGCCTTCCGGTGTGTCAACCACCCCTCCCAGTTTTATATCGTCAGCAAACTTGCTGAGGGTACACTCCATCCCCTCATCCAGGTCATTGATGAATATACTGAAGAGGACTGGACCCAGCAGTGATCCCTGGGGGACTCCACTTGTTACAGACATCCAACTAGATTCTGTGCCCCTAATAACAACCCTCTGAGCTCTGTCTTTCAGCCAGTTTTCAATCCACCTCACTGTCCATTCTTCTAACCCACACTTCCTAAGCTTACTTATGAGGATGCTGTGAGAGACTGTGTCAAAAGCCTTGCTTAAGTCAAGGTAGACAACAGCCACTGCCCTTCCCTCATCTATCCAACCAGTCATGCCATCATAGAAGGCTATCAGGTTAGTCATTCATGACTTCCCCTTGGTGAATCCGTGTTGACTACTTCTGATAGCTTTCTTTTCCTCCATATGCTTTGAGCTGATGCCCAGAACGAGTCGTTCCATCATCCTTCCAAGGACGGAGAAGGTTTTGTTTACCTTAGCATTTTCTTATGCATCCTCCAAGCCAAGCACAAAACTTATAATCCAGATTTTCTAGTGTTTACAGTTAACTAAGTAAATTTCCTACCTGCTTTGCTCTCAACACATTGCTCTTTTAGCTCTGGAAAAAAATTCAGGAAGGAATCCAGAAGATCTTGAGCCACAACGCTAGTAAATTTGTACTTCTCAATATAGGCCTGAAACAGTAAAAATGATAAATTATGGTTAGGCAAAAGACAGCTTCCTTTCAATACAGAACCACTGCATGCAATAAAAAATTAAAATTAAAAAAAAAAAAAAAAAAAAAGATAGATGGATGAGTGAGAACTAGCATTTGGAAAGTTTAAAAGAAAAAAATTCTCCTCCTCCCTGATGAGGAAAGCACCATTAACAAGAAAAAACCTGGGTAGACCTGCAAAAACACTGACAGCTGAGTACAGGGTGTCTTTTTCTGATACAGATCGCAGATATATTAACATATGAAGGGCAGGAAGGTTTCCTTGCACTTGACACTAGTGAAAAGTCAGAACACAGCTGGTCACTGTATTATTCACTCAGATTATGCACTAAAGTCATAAATATATAACTAAAGATAAGAGAAAGACGGAATGGATGGGAAGAGATGAAAAAACTTGCATGCAACAAAAAGCAATGAGTTGTGCCACTTTGCAAAAACAAGTCAATAGCTGACATAATTTTATATAGGTTTTGCAAATATGATCCAAGACACCAGATCAGCCCCAATATAGGAAACCATGCCCTTTGTGTTGTTTTTTTTTTTTAGCCAGGGTGACAAGCCGTTACAGTTTAGTAGTGAACAAAGTCACATCACTCCAGTCATAGATAATCTATGCTGGAACAGCTTTCTATTTGGAGCACAGAACAAGAGGTAACAAAAATATACTACTACTCTGTATTAGTAGTATACTTAGTATACTACTAAGAATCTGACATAAAAGAAGAGCGCAAGCACATTCACTTAAGAGAAATCTGAAGAAAAATCTGTCACAGGTAGAAGAAATCATTTGGGGTGACAGACAGGCCCACACCATTCTTCCACCTCAGACACATTTGTATTCAAGTTTATCCTTATCAATTAGCTACAGTGACAAAACTTGAATAAAAAGCAGCTCTAAACTCAAGAGAAATGCATGCTCATTAACACTCACTCTTAAGAAGGAGTCAAAGTGTCTTGGGTCACCACAGAGCTGGGACAGGTAGTAAACAAAACAGTAGCCTTTCTCATAGGTGAAGAGGTTCATTAAATTACTAGGATTTACACCTGAAAGGAGAAGACAACAATGTCATAACGAAATGAGGACGCTCATTGCCGACCCGTCTACATATACATATACATCCTTAGGGACGACTGAGTCAAGATGCAGTGACTTAAAAGCAGCCTGTTGTAAGCTAAGTATGAATTCCCTATGGAATAAGTCACTTCAAATTAGAAGTCACCGAAAACACACCTGGAATTTGAAGACAAATACTACCTTTTTTTTTTGTTCCCCCCAGTGCCCAATTCAGGAAATCAGACTACAATTTTTTTTAAGATGTCAATATAAAGTAATCACTACTTATTCCTTTTTTTGAGACTTCCAACACATGCTTTTCCACACCATTCAGTTCCAATATCATCTCCACTTGCATTTTAGGTTTAAATACCATCTAGATTGAAGACTGCTTCACACCTCCAGTGTTGATGACAGAACAAGAGAACTATCAACGAAAACAATACACGATGCTGGAGTGCAGACGTGCATCAGGCTCAGGGGATAAGCAAACAGCCTCTGCGCAGCTCAGTCAACAGGAGAGTGAGTGCATACGTTTATCTGTATGCTTATGCACACATACACACCTCTTACATGAACACAGAAAGAGAGGAACACTTCACAGGGTTTTATTTGATGTTTCTAAATATTTTAATTGTAAATAACTTTATTTTACATATTCAGAAGCTCCAAACCACACAGCTTTCAAGGCAGCTTTTCACGCTCCATTTCTGCCCAGTGAATCTGTTCTGTTGTTAAACAGAACAAAATTTATAAAGATGAGCTAGCCAACTTTGAAGAAAACATCAAGGCAAGTTTCCTTATTTACTTTGAGACTAGTTTACAAACCAGTATTTCTTTTTTCTTTATTTTATGAAGGATATGTAAAAATTAGTCTTTTTCAGTTTATATTTCAGCATCAATGTACAGAAGTTTTGTGTACAGCAGCTTCAGACAAAAGCCATACCTGGCTCCAGTTTAACCTGAAGCTTGCTGACTGGGTTGTCTTCTCCAAGAAGTTTCATCTGTCTGTGGAGAGCATCAAGGCGGAATGCAGTTTCCAAACATGTGAAGGCAGCTCCTACCCCAGAAAGAAATATATTAGCTGTGGGAAAATGACTAGTAAAACATGACCTGTGCAGAACTAGCACAAGTACAAAATAAAAGCTGCCGAAGGTGTAAAAGGCACAACAGCAAGACAGAATCACAGTAATGCAACGGTGGAGAAACTTGAGCGTAAAAAATCCTTGCAATCTGTAATGAAAGTCAGAAGCTAAAACAGTGTATTTATGCATTCTGATTATGCAGCAGGCTGAACTGAAAAATCAAGCAGCATGAAAACTATGCTAAAGTTTACATCTCTGACATCATCATCTCAGTTCTTGCAAAAGAAGCAGAGCAGCATTTGTACAGGTACCTTTCAAGGAGCAATCAAATGCTACAAATGAAGTTATGTCATGGGTACAATACTGGTACAATACTAGACACACGATTCTATATTCAGCGCCAAAGATATTACTAAAAGAATGTCACCTCTTGTTGAAAACAGGAAAGGATTAAATTTATTTGGTATACTACAGATCCTGTGGATCTTTTTTAAGCCTTATGTAGCATCCTACCCATATTGTATCATATGATGTTCATCTTCCGCTCATTAGGACTTCTTCTATAACTGCAGCTGGGTAGGCTATTCTTTCTCTTCCATCTGACTGCAGTGTAGAACGTTCCATGCTTTCAAGCCAAACTAGCTATATCACACTGGCAAGCCAAGAGACCTTTCCTATGCTCTGGCAGATATAAAAAGCTGCAGAAAATGGATTCTCAGAATCAGAAGACACTTAACATCCAGCACTATTAACACTTTAGATTTCTTTGCCAAGTCTTCAACTTATCTATAAGTTGTTATATAGATACTATCTTAGAGTCTCAATGTACGTATAGAGAGGAATCTGATATAAGCAAAATCTGAACTAAGAACCAGGATATATTTGGAAGACAGAAGAACCGGTACTGGCAGAGAAAGGGGAAGATGTGTTTCACAGGGGAAAGCAAGAACCAGGAGCCAGTGTTAAGGGCAATTACTTCAATCGACAAGCAGGGAGGAAGATTAAGCAAAATCCAAGAGGTGTGGTGGCCACAGGATTCCCAATTTCTGTAAACAGTGTAATTACAAAGATGCATTTTTATTAACAGCAGGAGATACTCCAGAAGTTATGTCAGAAATGGCAAGACTTAGATCAGAGGTTTGTCCTAGAAACAAAAATGGAATGCAAATCCAGCTCATGAATGAATGGCACAGGGAATGGCACTTCTTAGTTTCCTGAACAATTGCTTCTTGAAACAACTAGTTCTGAATTTCAAGCAAATAGACCAAAACCAGCAAGCATCTTGTCCTGTGTCAGAAGGACAAAGATGGGATAGAGAACAAGTTGATACCTTCTGGACTATTCACTTTATAGCCATGTATAATGTGCCTTATAAGAACAGTCCTAACCACTGAGAATTACTAAAAATAAAACAGCTTTCAAAGACATATAATATACATGTAATGTCTCCATATATGCTCAGAGCACTTCTTTCCCTAAACTTCATTATCATCAGCTCGTTTCCAAAAACAATATACATGAATAAAAGCAAAGGCATACTCCTAAACACTCTTGCTGCCACGATTTCCAGAATTTTTTCAAAGATTGCTTACAGCAGACGTGTGAGAATACACATGGCATAGGCTTTTAAGAACATAACAGCACATACTAGGAGAAATGTATGCTCCCATTATTGACTTCATTAAAAATCCAGGTAAACTGAAAAGTAACAGGAATGATTTACTATTTATATATTCTATAGGAAGTCCCATACAACCGAGCTGTGAAATTCACTGATATAAGCAGTCAAAGGCAGGGCTGTACAGTTCTACAGGAAACCTCAAACAGATAAACAGACAGCTATGTAGATGCACTTTTTTTTTTTTTTTAAATAAAGGCTATTGCCATCATTATTTCCAACAGCAGGTAGCTACTAACTGATCAGAATTAGAAAGACACTTGTTCAGAGAATAATTACTTCACAATGTAACCATAAGGTGTCTTTTACATCTTTCTCTGAAACATCTTCTACTCGCCTTGCTCTGACATATGAAAACCTGCCTGGTTCCAAACCACCTGCAAACATCCTTACAAAGCTAGGCTAACACACCTTGTTCATGCCCCCGTTACCGTACCACATATTTATTCTACCCAAAGCCAAGACAACATCAGACTCTAAGTAGCCACATGTTCAATGCAAAGTTTGAGGATGCGTGTGCTCCAGAAATACAGAAAACAAACCAGCTCCCTACAGACTTTTAAGTTCCTGAGGCAAATATTCTATGCAGCCAACTCCCAGTTATTGGTCAGACACGTTTTGGGGGCTCTACCATAGGTCTCAGTGGTGATCCGGCGCTGTGCGTAGGTGGCGAGTCCCTCGCTCAGCCACATCTCCTCCCAGGTGGCATTGGTGACTGCATTTCCAAACCAGCTGTGGGCAACTTCATGAATGACGTCAATGATCAAAAACTCATCACTCTCCAGAATGGAAGAGATGATGAAGGTCAGGCATGGGTTCTCCATGGCAACAATAGGGAAGGATGGAGGAAGGAAAACAATGTCATATCTAAAATTAGGGAGAGAGAAGAAAGGAGAGAGGAGATGATAGGTAAATTACAGCTATTTCAAAAGATGTACACAGAAACATTTTATTTTTTTTCTTAGGGAAGGCTCTTCTGAGGTTTTTTTGTGACTTTAGAAGCAAAAAAACTTTCTAAATCAGTGGCACTTAATTCTTCTAAGCAGGGGATGACAGAGTTTATTGTGTTGACCAAGGACCTGCTCATGTTCGGATGTAAGACCAGGCGGTCTTTTCATATGCAGCATATCCAGCACTTCCCAGAAGCATCATGCTCCCTTCACACATGCAAACTCATCAAAAGTTGTATATCTGAGAGCCAGAAACACTAAGTTTACTCTACATACACTACCCACACACATAGTGCAAACTCCCCAGAGGCTCCTAGGACAGAGAGAGGCTGGGAAGCTATTGAATTTAACTGATTTGGTGTACCTGCAGCGCCAGCAAAATTACTCTAGCCTGTCTGCTTTAGAACGTAACAATACTATTTCTTTTGTTTTCTAAATGTCTCCACCAATGATCAGCACTGGCACACTGGGCCTTGTTCTTAGCAACATTTTGTAAGTTACCAAGAGCACGTTCTTCCTGCTTATCTTTAGCAAATAAATATAGGAAGCCTTTGCAAACATCTTCTCCCATCCAAAGAACAAAAACATTCCCTCTAATACATAGTGAAGCTTCACTTCAGAAACTACATGTTTTTTAGGGACTAAGACTCTCAGTGAGTCTGTACTGAGTCACGTTTTCAGCATCCACAGGTATACCACAATAAATATATCATATGTCAAGTACAATATGTAAAAATAAATAAGATTAATAAAACTGCCATACACTTTAGATAGTGTCCAGCCCAATGGTGGACTTGCATCACAAAACACTATAGTATAAAAAACCTTAGGGGAGATCCACTGTTTAGAAACCTCCAGTTCTGCCCACCGTACCAGGCAAAACACCACCATGTCTCTATGGTCCTCTCTGCCACTTCCAAAGACAAAACTCCAGAGTTTGTTTCCAACGACTACAGTGATGCCAGTTGAGGGGCTCATTTGTCCTGGTGTTGCTAGCGTGGGGAAAAAGCACAATCATTTTTCAAGATTGTTTTATTTTGTCCCCATGACACATTCCTGGGAGACTTCTAAAACTCACCTTCCCCATATATATGGGCCATATAGACTCTCTGCAGCAGTCAACCAGCGCTCAACCATGCCAGAAAGCTTGCTGATGGCAGTTGGCAGTAGGCAAGGCTCTGCCCACACTCTGCTCCTGTCAGAAAACAGAAAACATCAGGTGATACTTCAGCAAACTGAATTATCTCTTAGAAAAAAAACAGCCTGACTTCTCATTACACTTCCATGTATGGTAATAGTGCTAAGAGGTCTCAAATGGGACTCAGGCCATCATTAGGCAAACACTCAATGGATACATGACAAGAGTGAATCAAAGTTCCCTTAAATCACCTTAAGGCAACAGAGCAAGGCAAGACAAGGAGCTGCAATGATTACAGAGAACAATAAACAACACTTATGAAAGAAGGAAACATCTTTGCCAGTGCAGTGCCATACAGTTCTTTACACCCAACTAAAGCTCAAACTCCCTGACCACCCACAGGTCATGGTGCCAACCGTTCCCTTATAAATGACTCAAAAGTATTTTTACTACTTATAACCCAAAAGACACAAAGGCACAAAGACACAAAAACCAGAATCAACTCACTGCAAATCTTACCGTGGACCTATGTCTGCATGTATAAGATCTCCTGCCACGAGGGCCACTAGATAGGCAGGAACTGGATATTCCATGTAAAATTGGTATACACCTTCCTCTTCTAAGTAGGTGCTTTGAGTAGCACTCATCAACACCTGTACGCCTGCTGGAGCCTGGAAGAAGAACATCATACACATCAATGCACTAGATGATCACATCACAGCAGAATGACCACACTGCAGATCTCCTCTTTTTTTTTTTTTTTTTTTCCTTTTATCTATGCCTAAGAGGATGCACGTTAAAAACAATATTTTAGATAACACAAAATATGAGATTTCTGTGTGGTTTCTATACCACAGTCTACCCAGGCCATGAAAACATACCAACCAGAAATATTACTCATCCTACATTGCATGGGTTCTTACACCAGCTCGCCCAAAAGTGCCCACATAAATTATCTCATCTACACAAAATGCAACATTATTTGACCCTGCTTTCACAAAGCTTTGGGTTTTTTCTTTCAAGAACTGAAAAAATACAATTGAGTATTATCATCAATAACCACTACTGGAAGTGACCAGCCAAATTCTCTTTCATGTTATCTATTTCATGCTTATTCTTTCAGTGTTGAGTACTAGGAAAGCAAGACTCAAGTGCGATAGGCAAGAGTTGCCTTTGTGGTGGTACTCTGATTCTGGCCCAAGAACCAGAACAGGATCTAAAAAAGTCCAGTACTTTTTATAACAGGAAACACCACAATGAATATTTTTTATCATATGTATATACACAATGTAACTATGTTTTCACAAATTAACAGCAGCTAAGTGCTTCATGAACCATTTACAGCTATTCGGTCACTTACCTTGACAGTAGCCGAATAGGTGCATTTCACCGCCGGTGTGTCAAAGCAGGGGAAGAAGGAGCGGTTACAGACAGAGTGGCCCTGTGTGAAGACAAAGGGCTTGGCGTTGCCGTATGTCAGCTCTGGATCCAGCCACCAGATCTGTGGAAACACAATGTGAAGAAGAGGTGAGGGAAAGGGATAGAAATCACAAGGATGAGCTGCCAAAAAACAAAACCATAAAGCAAGTGGACTAGGGGGGGCAGAAACACCTCAGCTATTGGGCTCCCCGAATGAATACCTGGCACAGGGCACATTTCAATTTCTAAGAATACCTCTTTCTACTAATGTTTATTTGCCATAGCTACTCAGAGTAATTTCTCACTGTCTGAACACCGAGTGGTGCCACACAACAGAGTGTCTTCCAGCCACTCGCTATTTCTGTTGTATCAATATGCTTGGTTAATAACACGTTCCTGCCAAACAACCAGACAACCTTCTTCTCAGGGGGAGTACTCCAAGTATCTTCATGTTAATTCAACACGAACAGGAATAGCAGGGGACAGGTAGCGCAAGCTGCCAAAAATAAGAACCCCAAACCAAACAATGAAAAACACCCAAACCAAAAAACCAAAAAACCCTGAGGCTGAGTAGTGTACACAACATTATCTCTGACCCTGACACTGCCCTGCTGGCTGAAGCATCAAACATTTTGACATTACTCAAAAAAAAGTCAGTATATGTGTATGTATGAAACAGCTGGTCAATGACACTGGAGGCCTCTTTTTACAAAGCGGATAAGAAGATTCTGGGTGGTCACACACACACACACACACACACACAAAAACCCACCACAAACCACCACTGAGCACATCACTTTTCAGTATCAAACAGAAAATAATTCATGAGTCAGACCCTCAGCAAAAAATTAGAGCAGACTAATGAAAAAGTGCGGTTACTTGCCTTTTTTGTTTTTCTGTTTCAAATGTAACGTGTGTGCTTTCACATGGTCCCTGCCTCCAACTCTGAAGTGATGGAGGAATTTTAAATAAGGATTTTCTTGTAATCCTAGAACTCTAGAGCTGAACATTGACAGAAAATATCAAATATTGTGAAACTTGCAATAATGTTGGAACCACTGGGAGGCTTGGGAACAGTCAAGCACAAGGAATAAAACTTCTGAGTCTGCTGAATTCTTAGATCAAAGCAACCAATAAATCTGAATTCAGGCAATAGCAGTACAGACAGTAGTTCAGTTCTGGCTCTCAAGAAAAAGCAATAAAATACTTATTTTAGATGAGCCTGGGTACTATGTCTGCTTGGGTTTTAATAACATACTACAATCCGGTCTTCTAGTTAAACTCTGTGCTCTGGAAGTCAAAGTTTTTTCTCTGTCCTACAAGGTTATTCCTTTAGACCCTTCTCCTCAGACGCCAACATGCTCCTCTCCCAAATCACCCACTCCAGCAGCACCCCTGAGGATTAAGTGAGAGGTAAGGAAAGGAAACACACTGTCAGCAGCTTTCAGTCATTTGACCAGCAGTTCACACTTCCACTGGTAAATGTTTGGGTTTTTTAAAGGTGGGAAGCACTACAAAATTAAAAACCTTTAGAAGTACAATTAATCTCAGAGCAGCATTCTCATCTTGAAATTTGTTTTAAGATTACCCTCTTCTGTTTCAAGCCTGTTGGGTCAGAAACATGGTTAAAGCACGACTTGGGATGAACCTTGCCTCACAGACACCACGAGGGCTAAGGCCACCCAACTATTCAAACCACGTGCTGCGTTTCAGCATATCACTAGCCAAATCCCCAGGTCACAGCTGAGATGCACTATACAGCTACAGATTTCTACACTGTGGATACCTGCACTGCATGGCAAGGAATATCTTCTCTATGATGTGACATTGTGGAACTGGAGGCTACTATTCCAGAAAGCATTTGGGGATGCATATCTCATTAAAACCCACAGTTTGAAACTAATGTATGCCAGAACATACATTCACATAAAAATGCAAACGCTATGTTTACTGCAGGGTAGTCGTTTTCTAAAGATACGGGAAGGAGGCTCAGAAATTTAAGTTCTTAAAGATCTGCCCCAATACCAACATGAAAACGCTCCTCTGACCAGTGGTTTTGTGCTCATATCACAAAGGGTCTGACTCACTGTAGCGTATGAAGGCACGGACCCCGGTCGGTGGTGATACGATCAGAATCGTTTATTATAACCAACAGGCAGCCTATATAGTACCAGTGTCTCTTCTTTCCCAACCGACACACCCTGCAACCCCCAACCCACAGGTGGGCAGAATTCCCCTCCATCAGTCAGGGGCCCAGGCATTGTTTACAGGTCTGGAGATGCTTATGGGCCATTTTCTGCCATTGTTCCTGCTTCTTCTTCTGGTCTCTGCTTCTTCCACAATCCTGTTAACCCCTTGTTCTCCCACAACTCCCAATCTGTATCGTTGACCCTGCTTGAAGAGACTCACCTGCAAAAGGTTCCATTTCCTTTGCTGAGAGACAGAAAAAGCTAACAAATAAAACAGAGAGAGAAGAAACCACCAGACCTAAATTGCAACACTAGAGTAGGAAGAAAAAAGGGTTGAGAGACGATGTCTTTAGAGCAGAAAGATAAGGGGAAGTTCTCCCTGACCAGCGCAGGAAGAAAACATAAGCAGGAAGCAAAGGGGAACTGCGAAGTTGATTCTTGTTTACAAGAAACTCCATAAATTAAGGACAATTTCTTTTCAACCAGTTCCCCTTTTATTTGACATTTGGTTGAAGTTAAATGAAGCACCAGCCCCACAGGCCAAGAGGGGAAAAAACATTTACAGAAGATGAAGTATTTTTTTCCCCTGTTTCCTAACTCTGCAGCTACATGGCAAACCTCCGTCTCTCTTTCCAGATGCACTTGGAACAATGATGAAAGTTATCCTGAAACAATATAAATAGATCTGTAATATAAATAGACCAGGCTATGCTGCCGGACAGAGGCAGGGCTACAGACTGGGGAAAACGAGTACAAGCAGCGTCCCAGAAAGGAGCGCAAGGAGCAGGGCACAGGGACAGAGCAGTATTTGGGACTATACAATCTACTCTACATCCAGATCCCTCCTGTGCTCCCCTTCGGAAACATACATGTCGCCATCATAATGCTCACCATTTTTACCTAATTTTTCACGTATACAGGAAACCTCTTTCACACATTAAAGCTCTTCTATGTTGCGCTTCAAGTAAAAAAAAAACCTGCTGCTTAGTTCCTATGCTGAACAAGGGCTTTGGGCAGTCCAAGTTTCCCCCCGCCTACATGCTGCAAAGAAGCTCACGCTTTATAAGGCACCAGCCAAGAATATAATTTTTAGTGACTTAATTATAATATTTTACCCAAATGCAGCAAATGACGAAGAGGATTAACTAAGTCTCTTTCAATTTTAAATTTCTGCATGTTTCTACATGCACTATTGATGAAGCTCCCAAGAAAAGCTGCAACACCAGAGCTTGTTCTAGACAAAGAACAGGCGGCTCCGGCAAAGTAAACCGCTCGCCTGAGATGCAGAGAATGTGACAGGAGCGAGGCACCCCTGGACAGCACTCACTCCAGGAGGACTGAGGAGTTGGGACAAAGCTAATGAAACAAGGAAGCTTCCAGCACTGCAAAAAGGGCTGTCCTTTTTGCTAAATGCTTTTTGAAGATAAGGAAATGCTATCACTTTTTATACCAGAACACAGAGTGGGGTTTGCATTTAAGATTGTCATGGAAAGAAAATAGCACTGGTGTTAACATGCACGCTGCCAAATCAGAGGCGTGACACAGTGGGCAAGAGACAGATGCAGATTTTTCTCCCTGGGGATGGAGGAAAAAAATAAAAGTCTTATGAAAGAGTATTTTTAGGACCAAGAAGTAAGGGGTGAGGGAAAAGAAGGGGAGGAAGAGCAGGACTACTGTCACTGAGACACCTGGTTGGTGAGAGCCTTCAGCCCACACCACCAGAGATACACAATCTTTATGACAGTCTCGCTGCTGAAGTGAATTGATGATGTACCAAGCATATGGTTTCCCAACAGCACAGGGAGCTGGAATGCTCTGCGAAAGGCAGATTTAATCTCTCAGCTGTCTCTCAATGTCAATCAAACAACCAAGGATCTTGGCTCCCTCCTGCACACGAGAAATAATGGGACAGTCGAACAACATATCCAGATGGCTCAAACTGAGTATATCAAGGCAACAGGTTTCCAATTTTAAACAGACCGCTATCTTTGCTGCTGATTTTTCTGCCAACATGTCTGTGCTACACTGTAACATGAATTTACTGTTTTATAGGTCCCCCAAGTACACTAAGGGTCCCACAGAAAACAAACCCTGACCTAAAAGATTATATTCAAAGAACGGCCAAAGAAAATATATCTTTTAGGAGACAGAGGTCTAACACTGTAAAGTTGCTTCACTTATACAGAGAAAAGGGACTGCGAGGAAACATACTAGACATGAACATAAAACAGTTCATGGTTAAACACACACGGGTTACTCATCCCTACTAAAATGTAACACTAGGCTGAAAACCAGCAACAACAGATAGCAATACAATAGCACGAAATGACTTTGGATCCAAAAAAAATAGTTCAGTGTGCTGAACATGAAGGGCTAGAACAGGTGCTACTTGAGGGCAAATACTTTGCCAGCCAAAATCTACAATAGCGAGTGACGAAATGTAGTACAATTTATGTCAGCGAGCACGAGCGATACTTTTCAGTATCGCTCAAAAAGGGCAGTGCATGCCCCTGACACTGTAAGCATCTATAATCTTTTGACACCAGTCCTTGTAGCCTCATTTCAGCTGAAGCAGTACACGCCATTAAAGGTACAATAAAGACTTTCAAAGACAGGATGAAGAATAGCTAGCTCTCCACGGATCCAGGGGAAGCAAGACAAAAAACAGAGGGAATGGAAAAAACACCCTACTCCCGGCACCCTCAAACCCGTAACATTCACGCTGGATTGTGTGCAGGGCCAGGGAGGCAACACCTTAACACGAGGTAAGACTAAACAAACATCACGTCAATCAGTGACCTGCACCTTCTAGGAGTTTTCAGACCATTCCTAAAGCTGAGCCTCAGACTGGTATTCTGTTAGCTTCCCCATAGACAGAGCAGGACAGCCTGCCCCTTTGGCAACAGGACTGGCAAAACCCAGGAGAGAGGACAGGCTAGTCTAAAATAAAACAATTTGTTCAAGAGGAGGAATGCACGTTAACGTGTACTTTGGGCGGAATGGCTCAGTCAGACTGAGAATGATTACAGAGCATCCAGCAACATCGAAATGGGTGTTTTGCACCATTTCTCATCCTTTTTTTCCAGCAGATAACTTGTAAGAATATCTCTTCCTGCTCTTCTCAAAGCGCCTGACCATGGCTCGATGGAACACCACCCTACGTGTGCAAGGCCTGATTTTGTAAGCACCTGGCAAAACCCACGGGGAAACTCCTGTATTTGCAGATTGCCTAACTTGTCCTGAACAATTCGGTCGAGGCAGGAGTTTTCAAATGTTCACGGTCCTCACCGACAACTGCAACGCCCTTAAAGGACAAAAAACTTTAAAGTGACTGTCACCATCGGGGCCGAGCAGTCTCAGGGGCCACGGCGACGGGGGCAGAAGGGAGGGCGAGGGTGGGCAGGAGCATCACCCCGAGCGCGGCGTGGGACCGCGCAGGGCTCGGTGGCGGCGGGCAGGGGACAGACGCTGCTGACAAGCGAGCAGGCAGCTGTCAGGCGAGGAGGGGACATAAAAAGAGGGGCTGACAGCAAATTATCTTCCGCCGCCTCTGCTGCAGGGCGGTCATTACAGCGGGCAGAAAAACGTGAGGAAGGCGCGGGTGGCACGGGAGGGCACCGCCGGCCGCCCCGGGGCTCGGTTCCTGTGCCATCCCCCCCCGGCCCCGCCGCGCCCGCCCCCACCCCGCGCAGCGCGGTACTCACAGCGGGGCCGTCGGCTGTGGTGTAGCGGACGATGATCTGGAAGGGCTGGTGCGGCTGGAGGGCGGCGGGCAGGG